GTGACTACTTTAATTACATGTATCAAAACAGAAACGTTTGACTGGAAGTTAATGGGAAGTGAGAATTAGGATTCAAATATAGCCCCCAAAGTAACTCTCATTTTAAAATTTTACATTCCAGTTATTAAAGTTAAGTGAAAAATTGTACTATTAAAATCACACTTGACTGCCAAATATTATAGGAGTCTATTCTCTGTTGATTCATTTTGTTGACATTAATAGAAGTTGTGTGAGTTCAAGGAGGATAGAATCCAAGAGAACAAAAGCAACAAGAAGCAGCTTAGTTTAAGGCAAGGAACTTTTTAGTACTTTATATCCAGTCACTTAAAGATGGTGAAGACCAGTTCAAGATCCAGTGGGAGAAGGAATAATTGTTGAATAAAAAGTCACTAATTTCATCATGCTTTCAATTTTATTTATATAAGCAATAGACATTGACTTAGTGTTATCCTTTTTTTAAAAACATAAGCAATGGACTTTGATATCTTATATATTTCTGTATATTCAGTGTTTCCTTTCTTTTGAAAAGCTGATCAGGGCATTAGATATCATGACTAATACTACAGTCAGTAGCAGGATTGTAGTTACTCCATGTATTTCTAGAACTGATGCATTTAAAAGATCTGGGACTTAGTGAGTAGTTTATATCAAGAAGACTGTTGAAAACAACCCAAAGTAAGCATTAAGAGCAGAGGTAGGGCGCATAGCAGTGTTCAGTAGGTGTTGTGCCAGACTTATAGAGTGGATTATCAAATTTCTTTCACGGAATAAGAAAGCACTTGACTCTGTATTCTCAGATAAAGTGATTTTGATCTCAGTATTTTCCCCCTTTGTATTTTTTGTTCTTTAAATATCTCTGATGTTGAAAATACACTAATATTAAAAGTTTGAGAGATCAAATTTAAAGACTCTAGTGTACAGTTAGTTCTTGTTCTATGTGTAATTTGAACTTTTCAGTTCACTTTGGTGAATAATATATATATATATATATAAATAAAAAACAGACATCCAAAAGTAAACTCATTTCTCTCATACC